TGTCCCAGGGCCCCGTCAGTTCTAAGAACCTCTGGTGGTTGTTGCGACGTGTTCTTAGAACATCTCTGGCTTCCTCAGGCGATCGCAGGCATGGATGAAGGGGGCGTGGATAAGCGACGGGTCCCGTTCCCAGAGGAAATCGTTGATTGCCGCCGCCGATAGAGGCGCCACCGGCCGCATTTTGGGGAACGCACCTCCCCCGATCCATGGATTTGGCGACCGCGCGCCAAATCCATGGATCGCTAATCCATGCTTGCGCGCCCCCGAACTTTGCGCCTCTAAGACAAATGCTCGGTAGGCCTACAGGCGGCCCGGATTAGTAGGTCGACCCTACCATATAACGGGTACCCTTGTGTCCTGTGTCTCGCGACCCATGTTTCCTACATTCCTGTGGCAATGTGGCCCTCGCGGCAAAGAGGGGGGTGATGGCCAGGGGGGGGGGATCTCATGGCGGGAGCCACGATGCCTCCCCAGATTTGATGGCGGCTCTTCTTGTTTCAATACGTCCCTGGCCCCCCCCTGGGCCGCGCACATGCCGCCGGCCATGATTTGCGCCCCCCCCCTCTTGGACACCCCCTCTTGGCCGCCCCCGACTTTCGGGCCTCTTTCTGGCACTGCAGCGCTGCCCACATCGGGGAGGGTTGGGCTCGCCAGCGCACCCGTTGGTGGAGTCGCCGTTGGCGGGGCGCGGGAGCCACGATGCCTCCCCAGATTTGATGGCGGCTCTTCTTGTTTCAATACGTCCCTGGCCCCCCCCTGGGCCGCGCACATGCCGCCGGCCATGATTTGCGCCCCCCCCCTCTTGGACACCCCCTCTTGGCCGCCCCCGACTTTCGGGCCTCTTTCTGGCACTGCAGCGCTGCCCACATCGGGGAGGGTTGGGCTCGCCAGCGCACCCGTTGGTGGAGTCGCCGTTGGCGGGGCGCTGGCGCCGGGCTTCAGCTGGCCTCTAAAGGTGCCCGTTCGTGGGTTCCCCGTTGGAGGGGCGCTGGCGCCGGGCCTCAGCTGGACTTTAAAGGTACCCGTCCGTGGGTTCCCCGTTGGAGGGGCGCTGGCGCCGGGCCTCAGCTCTCCTCCTCCTCCTCCTCCTCCTCCTCCTCCTCCTCCTCCTCCACATTCTCCTCCTCCTCCTCCTCCTCCTCCTCCTCCTTCTCGGTCGTCGGGCGCGGAGCTCGGCCGCCGGGTTTCGCCTGGGCCAGAGGCCCGCGGCGTGCGCGCGCTTCCGCCTCGGCGCGGTGGCCGCGGCGGCCGCGGGCGCTCCGGGCCGAGGCCCAGGCCCTCGGCAGCCTCTGGCAGGGCCCTGCGGACGGTAGGCGGCTTTCCGCTGGCTGGTTCGGATTGGCTCCTCCTCCTCCTCCTCCGTTCTCCTCCTCCTCCTCCCTCCTCCTCCTCCTCCCTCCTCCTCCTCGTTCTCTCCTCCTCCCTCCTCCCTCCTCCTCCTCCGCCCTCCTCTCCTCCTCCTCCTCCTTCCTCCTCCCCTCCGCCTCCTCCTCATCCTCCCTGTCCCTTTCCCTCCACCCTCCTCCTCAAGCGTTCCTGCCAGAGAGAAGCCGAGCAACGTCGCAATCGAGTCGAAGGGAAGCCCCTCCCCCTCCTCCCGTCCTCCTCCTCCCCTCCTCCTTCTCCTCCTCCTCCTCCTCCTCCTCCTCCTCCTCCTCCTCCTCGTCCCCCTCGTCCTCCGCCTCGTCCTCCTCCTCCTCCTCCTCGTTCTCATCCTCGTTATCCTCATCCTTTTTATCCTCCTCCTCGTTATCCTCCTCCTCCTCCTCGTTCTCCTCCTCCTCCTCGTTCTCCTCCTCTTCCTCCTCGTTCTCCTCCTCCTTCCTCCTGCTCCTGCTCCTGCTCCTGCTCCTGCTCCTCCTCCTCCTCCTCCTCCTCCTTCTGCTCCTCTCGTCGCCCTCGTACGCCTTCCCTCGTTCGGATTGCGATCAGATGCGGTCGGCCTGAGGTATAAGATCGGAGCCGGCTCGGGGAGGGCACCCTGATGCTCTGCGTGGGTGTTGGATCTTCTTGTGCATCCTGGGGAGGGCACCCTCGGCTATTCTGTGTGTTTTGGCCGGCGTGCGGTCTCATGTCTTTGAAAGATGTTCTTCTGTTCTGGGTTCGCTTGTACAGTGAGCGGCTTGAATAAGGAACACTTACTTCTCAAAAGGGGCTCGGTCGTTCCTTAGGCTTGCATGCGTCATTTACAGTGCCTTATGCGTTATTTGTTATTTTTCGTTCCTTGTGCGTTATTCCTTGGGATAAACATGGGCGTCGTTCCTTATTTATCGTTCCTTAGGTCAGGCCGGTGAGTGTAGAGCCCGCGCGGTGCAAGAAGCCCAGAGCCCGTGCCGTCGTGGCCGGAGCGCGCGGAGGAGGAGGAGGAGGAGGAGGAGGAGGAGGAGGAGGTAGGAGGAGGAGGAGGAGGGGGAGGAGGAGGAGGGGAGAGAGAGGAGGGGGGAGGAGGAGGAGGATGGGGAGAAGAAGGGGGAAGGGGGAGGAGGAAGGGGCAGGAGGAGGAGGAGGAGGAGGAGGAGGAGGAGGAGGAGCCAGAGCCCGTGCCGTCGTGGCCGGAGCGCGCAGCGACGTGCGGCGCCCGCCCCGTCCCTCCCCCCTCCTCGCTCGAAGCTCGGGGCCCGGGCCTGTCCAGGGGCGCGGTTTGGCAGGAGGGGAAAAAACACACAGACACAATGAATCGTAGATTCCCAGAAAATATGGGAAAATATGGGAAGTGGGGGGGAAGACAAAAACCCAGGAAATATGGGAAAATATGGGGAATGTTTTTATTTGTGTGTATTTATTTGTGTGTCCTGGGGCCCCTTCAGTTTGGCCAGGGCTCCGGGGCCGCACCCGGCCGTGGCGGCGAGGAGGGCGCCCAGGGCACGCAGCAGAGCCGACGCCTCTTCCTCCTCCTCCTCCGCCTCCTTCGGCCTCTTCCTCCTCCTCCTCCTCCTCCTCCTCCTCCTCCTTCGGCCTCTTCCTCCTCCTCCTCCTCCTTCGGCCTCTTCCTCCTCCTCCTCCTCCTCCTCCTTCGGCCTCCTCCTCCTCCGCCTCCTCCTCCTCCTCCTCCTCCTCCTTCGGCCTCCGATGCCTCGGTGGACGGCCACCCCCCCGCCGCGCAGAGGCGGGCCCGAGCACCACGCCTTGGCGCAGCTGCCGCGAGCGGGGCCTGCGGATGCGGCGGATGGCCGCGGCGCGGGAGCTGCGCGGGCTGCGCGCCCAGCTGGGCAGCTTCGAGCAGGCCTCGCAGGTGGAGGCCTCGCAGCGGCCATATATTTCTACATATACACCCACATACATACATACACACATACCTACGTACATACCTACAGACAGACAGGCAGGCAGGCAGGCAGGCAGACAGACAGACAGGGGCCCGCCCAATTACTGAGGTCACGCAAATAAGAACCCCGAAGTGCAGACACTGTTTGGGGAACAGAAGCAGGGGCTCCCAGGTGCAAGCACTATCTGGGGAACCAAAGTCAGAGCCCCTGCGTGCAAGCACTGTGTGTGGAATGTTCGCCAGCGTGGTGCCCAAAGGAGACCCTTGCTCCTGTGAGCTGTACAACACACGTGCCGCAAGCTATGGAGGGAAAGCTATGTGGTGCCATCAGTGTGGTGAACGCTACGTGTGGCGAGAGCTGCGTGAGGCAAGCTGTGTGCGGCAACCTGCACGGTGCAAGCTACAGCCGGCCCGGATTACTAGGTCGGCCCTGCGAGCTCAAGGGTACCCTTGTGTCCCGTGCCTCGCGACGCGTGCCTTCTTACACTCCGATGGCAGTGTGGCCCTCGGAAGGGTCTTTTGTCCTCTCGCGTGTCCTCTCCAATGAAGTCCGACTGTGTGCGCTGCAAGCTGTGCGATGCATCCTGCACGTGGCGCACGCAGCGCGGTGCGAGAGCTGCCCACAGAGGCGCCCGCGGGCGGCCACCCGGCGACGCGCCGGCACGCGCACCGGAGCGCCCACGGCGCGCCCACGAGGCGCCCACGGGCGGCCACCGACCGGCGCGCCGGGGGGGCGCCCCGGCGGCGCCCAGGAGGCGGCAGCCATGGAGGCACCGGGCGAGACCCAGGGCACACCCATGGCTGTTTGGTCAGATAGCTGGGGGGAATTGTTAGGTTCAAGCGCTGTTTGGGGGATCTCTCTCTCAATATAAATATATATGTATATATATATATATAAAAATTCAATAGTTATATATATATATATATATATATGTGTGTGTATGTATGTATGCATGTATGTATGTATGTATGTATGTATGTATGTATGTATGTATGTATGTATGTATATATTTATTCATTCAACCATATCTGCAAGCAAACATAAGCAAGCAACCGAATATGCTTATAATGTGTATAAATATATAGGTGATCTATCATCCTGTGTACGTGTGAGTGCGTGTGTGCGTGCATGTGCCAGGGGCGGTTCTCGCGAAGAAAAGCGATCATTGTGTGTCAGCAGTATGTCATATGCCTCTCTGTCTCCCTTTCTATCTCCCCTCGATCTCTCATTCGTTTCTTGTTGTTTTGTTTGTTTTTTGTCAATATAAATATATGTATGTCTCTCTCTCTCTCTTTCTTTCGCTTGGGTTTGTTTCTCTCTCTCTCTCTCTTTCTATGTTTCTCTTTCTCTCTTTCTCTCTTTCTCTCTCTCTCTCGCTCTCTTTCTCTCTCTCTCTCTCTCTCTCTCTCTCTCCTGATCGATTTATGTATATATATATAGATGTATCAACCTAAGGCACTACCTCCCTCTGTCTCTCATTATATGTATCACCGTCTGAACGTTTCTGCAGCGGAGTGCTGTAGGAGTCCAGCCGTAGTGGTTAACATCAATAGATCACAGGCGATGGGCTCACACCGGCACTGCAGTTGTAAGGTTTTACCGAAAGATTTCGATTGCAAGCTTTTGCTCTGAAACCGTCCGTAAAGAATTGGAGAGACATTTGTGTTGCAAGGTGTGACAGTTGCATTGTTTGCCAGGTTGTACAAGCAGACTCATGGAGGTAGGGTTCACACTCAGACCTTGTTGGGGCTGGATGTACCTTGATAGCAAGCTGCGTCTACTCTTCCGCAACCTGGTGATCGCCGCGAGTAACAGCCCCCCCCCCCAAACTAGAGCTCGGATGGGATCGTCTTAAGGTGCAGCCCCTGTAGAAATATATATATATATATATATATATATATATATATATCTCTGCTGGACTTCCAAGGGGACAGGATTGACGACTGAGCCCTATTCAACGGCGACCGCCCTCACGAAACACTACTGAGCTACAAGTTTGGAAGAACTCTCGCCAATGCTACGACACTAGCTGCGCCGCACAAAAGCTATGACTCTAAGCAATTTCTACTGGAGCTGCAACCCCGATGCGATGCTGCAGCGACAGTAACTCTACCAGTGTGCTACCACATCTCGCCTTGAACCCATTGACCACAATTGACCACAACTCTAGTTTATCCCGCACCATGTCTGTAATTCCAGGTACAACCCACCTCGGGTTACAATTCCAACATAATCAATGCAGAACGGAAGGCCGGACGAACTCAAACTAGAGCACATTTTCGGGTAACAAATGATTGCAGTTACAATTCCGAGAAAAAACCGCCAGAGCCCGACCACACAATAATCGCACAAAGTCTTCAATTCCAAGCAAGTCACACGGGTCCTTCAATAGTCAAATGAATTATGGATGCGGGTGCAAGTCTATGAGAATCCGACCAGGGCTTGCCATGCTAACATCAGAAGTGGCCACAGCTCGATTATAACCCATTGTAAGTCGACAGCTCCGTTCCAAATAACTTTAGAGCTAGAGCTACAATACGCTAGAGCGAAGACTAAGGCATTCCGGCTAGACATGCGACCCTGCTAGAAATTTGCAAAGGATTCAATCCGAATTGGTTCTCGCTTGAGCCGGCTACAATGCTGATAGCAAATTGCAAAGATGGTAACATCCTAACTAAAGCGATTATCCGAATACGCAGTTGTAATGGGTTTGCAACTCTTGAAATCGCCCCGGTAGTCCCCAGGGACATTTCTTTCTCCCTTTCTCGAGGTTGCGTGTGGGCATCGGCCAGTGATGCATTGCATACCGACAAACACCAGCAGACGCTTCCAGGCGGGTCGTGGCGGCCGGGTCGACCGCAAGCGGCGAGCCCGATACGCTCGATATCTTACGCAGTTCATGTGTCTCCACCTTGTCGTCCTCCTCCTCTTCCTCCTCCCCACCCTCCTCTGTTTCAGCCAACTATACGACGGCCTCTTTCTTGTCACATCCCTCCTGCAAGTGCTACTGGTGCGACTTGCTCTCCCTTTTTGTTCGCTCTTCTTGTCCTCCCTCCACGACCACCAGCGCCACTGCAACCACCTTCTTGTCGTACCCCTCCTCCTAGAGGTGATGACGATGCTACATATGATGTTGCCGATCCTCCACTTCTCCTGCCCCTTCTCTATATTATCAGCAGCATCATCATCGCCGTCACCATCATCATCTCTCTATCATCATCATCATCATCATCATCATCATCATCATCATCATCATCATCATCATCATCATCATCATCATCATCATCATCATCATCATCATCATCATCATCATTATCAGTATCAGCATCACCATCATCTCCATCATCACCGTATTGCGTATCCCCCTCCCCCTCCTGTTCCTCTTCCTTTCTGTCCAGGACGGTCTGGTGAGAAGCATCCCTGTGCCGGTGCGCCTCAGTGCCTCCTTCCCCCCCGGAGTACGCCCACCTGGCAGAAAACAACATCCAGTTGTCGTTGTTTGTCTTGGTGTTTTCAGTCGTCTGGTTGTTTTTGGGTTGTTTAATCAATCGTTTTGTCTGTTTTGTTGTTTAGCTTTGCTATGGTTTTTCCCCCTCCCCCACCATCAGCATCATCATCATCAGCATCATCAACATCATCAGCATCATCATCACCAGCATCATCATCATCAGCAGCATCATCAGCATCATCATCATCCGCATTATCCTCATCAGCACCATCATTATCATCATCATCGTCATCATCATCATCATCATCACCATCATCATCATCATCGTCATCATCATCATCATCATCATCATCATTACTATCATCCTCTTCCTCATCATCATCATCGTCATCATCATCATCAACATCATCATCAGCAGCGGCAGCAGCAGCATCACCGCTCCCCGAGGAGTACGCCCGCCTGGCGGCGGACGTGCGCAAGCTGGAGCACCAGCTCGAGCTCGAGCGCGGGAGGCAGGCGTGCTCAGCCGCCTTGTTCAAGCAGCTCGGGGAGCCCCGCGGGGCGGGCGCGGGCCCTCTCCGGTGCGAGGGCCAGCCTCCTCCTCCTCCTCTTCGTCCTCCTCGTCCTCCTCCTCCTCCCCCTCCTCCTCCCCCTCCTCCTCCTCCTCCTCCTCCTCCTCCTCCGCCTCCTCCTCCTCCACCTCTTGCTCCTCCTCCTCCTCCTCCTCCTCCTCCTCCGCCTCCGCCCCCTTCTCCTCCTCCTCCTCCTCCTCCTCCTCCTCCTCCTCCTCTCCTCGCCTCCTCTCCTCCTCCTCCTCCTTCCTCCTCCTCCTCCTCCTCCCTCCTCATCCTCCTCCGCCCCTCCTCCTCCTCCTCCTCCTCCTCCTCCTTCTCCTCCTCCTCCTCCTCCTCCTCCTCCTCCTCCCTCCTCCTCTCCTCCTCCTCCTCCTCCTCCTCCTCCTCCTTTCTCTGCTCCTCCTCCTGCTCTTCCTCCTCCTTTTCATCCTCCTCCTCGTCCTCCTCCTCTGCCTCCCCTTCCGCTCTCCTCCTCCTCCTCCTCCTCCTCTCCTCCTCCTCCTCCTCCCCCCTCCTCCCCTCCTCCTCCTTCTCCTGCTCCTCCTCCTCCTGCTCTTCCTCCTCCTTTTCATCCTCCTCGGCCTCCTCCTCCTCTGCCTCCCCCTCCGCCTCCTCCTCCGCCTCCTCCTCCTCCTCCTCCTCGCTCCTCCTCCTCTCCTCCTCCTGCTCCTCCTCCTCCTCCTCCCCTTCCTCTCCTCCTCCTCCTCTCCTCCTCCTCCTCCTCCTTTTCCTCCTCCTCCTCCGCCTCCTCCTCCTCCTCCTCCTCCTCTTCCTCCTCCTCCTCCTCCTCCGACGACGACGACGACGACGTCGACGACGACACGCCGTAGGCACGGGCGATACCAGTCGGCTGGAGCGGGAGCACGGAGGGGGGTTAGGAGTAGTGGCAGGGTCCCAGTGTTTGTTGATCTCGCCATCGGCGATCACACATCGCAGTGATCGGGGGACCACGTGTGATCCCCGATCCCGATCCCGTGATCGGTGCGGGTTGATGTCGCGATCGTCCGAGCTGGGATGCGTGATCGATCCGTGATCGGCGCGGCAGCCATCGTGATCAGGGCTGCGATCGGACCACGTGAGCGGGTGGCGTGATCGGCCGAGTGATCAGCCAGACACGACGCGCAGGGTCCCACCCTGTCCTCTCTCTGCTCAGGGCACCCCAGCCGCCAGGAGCGAGTCTAACACCATCCGACGCTGAGCGCAGATGTAGCATGTAGCACACCAGATGCCGTGAACAAAAAAATGTACGGGGCCTTTTGTAACATCTGAGCAGATCGTGCGCATTGGCACGATGAGAGCCCCACCAGCAGTCCACAGTCACGAGGTTCGCCAGTATGACGTTAACTCCTGCTCCTGCGGTGTAGTGAGTTGCACTTGGCTTCCTGCAGTCTACTGCTGCATGAATTCATGCTGCCCACCGGCGTCAAGGAAGCTACAGGCTCGGAAGAAGTTAGCGAACAGTCATGCCGCATTCGTCTGTTCATGCACCCTCCCAGTGATCACTGTTGGCGGTGGGTTGAAAGAGCTGACCTTCAGCCGCAGTCTTTCCCGCGCGTGCCAACTTGCCCGCCAGTATGACATGAACGCTACTCCTGTGTCGTGTTGGGCTGCGCCAGGCCTCCTGCAATCTGCTGCTGCACAGTGGCGCAGCTGCCCGCGGACTGGCTCAGCAGCCACGGACTGGCTCAGCCAGTCCACGGCTCCTCCTCCTCCTCCTCCTCCTCCTCCTCCTCCTCCCCCTCCTCCTCCTCCTCCTCCTCTTCCTCCTCCTCCTCCTCCTCCGCAGGGAAGGCCTCCGCCGCAGGCCCGGCAGGCCGAACGCCGGCCGACGTCCAGGCCATGCGGGCAGCCCGCACGGGCCCCCCAAGAGGCCCCAGGGCGGCCCAGAAGCGGCCCCAGGAGGCCCCCAAAACGGCCCGGGAGGCCCCAGAAGAGGCTCCCGAAAGGGCCCCCAAGAGGTCTGCAAATTGCCCCCAAAGAGGCCCCCGAGAGGCCTGCCACGAGATCCCAACGAACATCCAATCAAGAGGCCCCAGAACGGCCCCCAAGAGGCTTCCAAACTGCCTTCAAGAGGCTCCCGAGAGGCCTGCCACGAGATCCCAACGAACGTCCAATCGGCCTCATACCCACAGTAAGGATGAGCAACTTTCCAAAGTTACCCTTGCATCCTTCCCCTTCGGCCCATCCTTGGCCACTTTCGCTGGCCGCGCCCCGCTGGAAAAGTGTCGGCATGGCCCTCCAAGGCCCTTGCGTCCTCACCGCGCATCCTTATTATACGGGTTGACTGTAACCCTTCTGTCTGCAAGGATCGACAGGATGAGGGAACGAGAGATAGAAAGAGAGAGAGAGAGAGAGAACAAAACAAGCATCGAAACAGAGGGGGCGGGATGCGCGCAACGAGCCCTCTTCCTTTTGGTCGGTCAAGTGAATTGTGATGAACTCCGATGCCTCTTCTTCAACAGTGCGCCCTCTCAGATACACTGGGAAAATGGGTTGCACCTTTGCACTTTGTCTGGAGGCCACGGCGCCTGTGCGGAAGCCCCCGGACACGACTTCAACAGGCGACCCTCGCTGATCCCGCGTGACGTAAATTCTACAATGAGCACCGAGCCTGAAGCAACAAGAGGCACTGTTGGCCTGCGTATTCGAGTTGCAGACGGAGGATGCCCAAACATTGCCCAGATCCCCTTCTCCCCTGTTCGAAGGGCCCC